TTTAATCCACACTTCTAGAATTTGGTCTTGTTCTGTGACATGTTGTGTGCATATCCGTTTTACAGATCTGGCCTACATGTTTGCAGACTTTTGATTACTCGCCTCTCATGCAGATGTCTTCCGACTGCGAAGGAAACATCGACCATATCTGCGTAGGTCGGGCCCTTGGTAGAGAGCTTGTTTCTAGGATGATCGCAGTTTGTACCCTGGTCCTATTGCATTATCATTCACATCATTGCATCCGTTGAATAACTGACCCTTACTCCCCGGCCGCAACGCCTGAAATAGATACCAGAAACTGACTTGATAAATCACTGCAGTCGACGTGAGGTTGACCATATCAACCTCCAAATGGTCTGTAAACTATAGATCTACAGTCACCATGGTCTAGCGGCAAGACGCTCGCCTGCGGATGGGACCGTGTGTTCGGGTTCTGACAGCCAAGTTTTTTTTTTCTTTTTCAGAAATAACCTTGGCTCCCAGGTCGACCCAGTCTTGATTGGGTACCAGGTGTAATTCTGGAAACTAAATGCGGACGGCGTGGTGTTTACCACATCATACACAAAGTTCTATAAAATATACGTCTAACCCTATACGCCCAATATGCCTAAAGACTTTTTAAAAAGTTCTTTACTTATTACTTACATTATGACTGAATTGCCAATTGGGTTAAAATGGTATGTTATTTTACTCATATTGGACATGGAACCAACAGAAATAAAACATTAGGGTGAGTGGAGGGGTGTTGTAAAAAAAGGTGGGGGGGGGGGAATTCAGCCATCATACAAATTTTCTAACGGGGGATGGGTTTTCAGACCCTAAGTATTGTTCAAAGAATAATAATCATTATGTTGTTTTTGTTTTTGTTGTTTTTGCCGTTATTATTTTTATTATTATTATTAATATTATTATTATGCTTTGATATACTTAAAAAAGAAAACTTCTATGCATTGTTAATGGGGAAGACTCACTGACTTACAAATTTATCTGAAGACGAGATGAGGTTGGAGGAAGAGAAACAGGAAATATGTCTAGAAGAATCTTTGGAGTTTGCTGAATTAATATGTTTGAATGACGGCCGAGGCAGGCAGACAGGAAACTGAGTCAATTTTCGTGGAAATGTCTTCTTCTGAGCCCTAAAATTATGTGGGTACTGATGTCAGTATATAAAAAGGTAGGGGGGGGGGGGGGGGGGCAGGGGGTGGGCAAGACTGTCGAGTTCTGCCATAGCTGCAGACGGCCAGCCTATGGATGGTCTCTCAGTCGTCTCTTGAAACAAAAACAACTCTAAATTTTCTGGTTGTAGGCAGTCCCGCGTGATCTTTTCAGTTAAAAAAAAAGCTCTCTCTTTTCACTGAAAATATCACCATCATTGTGTGCCACGTCGAAAAGCATAGGTAGGCATCATTCCCCATCCTACTCGATCAGCAGAATCACGGATTAGGTGTTGTACTTTTGCCCCACCCGATTCATTTGGTCAAGATATTTAGATGTTTATTCCCCCCTTCCCCAATCCTCTCCCTTCCCCACCCCACGGTAGTCTTTCAATTATTTTGCAGTTTTTCACGAAGTTCCGGATTCTATTGACTGCCTTGAAATCAACCTTAGTAAACAAACAAAAAGAATTACATAATGGAGATTTTGTTTTGTATCGTCCTTTTTCCCCTCGCCTCACATCATGGTCTGGTCTGTAATTCTTGTAGTCTTCTCCCCAGCTCAACTTTATAGACTGTTTTAAGTGTGTCTTTGACGTTTTAAAGATCTGGAGAGATACTGATTTCTGAGTATATAGAGTGGAAATCTCTTTGTTCTGACTCTTTTATTTTAGAAGATTATTCCTGGGACTTTTATAACTGTACTTGTTATGAATGGATCATTAATCCATAGTTCTTGTGTGAGAGCTTCATTATGGCAGTGTTATATTTGCATGCTGTGCCAACATTTAACTTTCTCGATGATTTATAATTTGTCTTTATAGTTTTTTTTTCTTGAAATCTGTGTTTCAGCAGATGGTTTGAAAGTCTCTCAAGTTTTCCAGACTAAGTAATAGATATATATTGCCTGCGGTGATGCTTCTCATTGACCCGTGTGATATTCGTAAGTTCATATTTTGAACATCGTATAGGTTTCACTAGTTCGTTTACGCTGCTTCAGCCCATACAATGGAGGCGTAATTCATAACAGGCTTTCATGCTCCGGTGAAGACTAGTATTGATGTTTTTGTTTTGGCTCCCCACTATGTTCCATCTAGTTTTTATTTTCCCCACAGTGTGTCATTTTATGTATTTTGATCGGATTTGATTTTCTTCTTATGAGACTTCATAATGAGTCTGGTGTCGATTGTGAGTCTCCCATCATTCCACCCCCTCCCCCTCCCCCCTCGCTCACTTTTCCCCCTCAAAGTGAGTAGATTTATAACATTATTTGATGTTCTAACATTAAAAATATTCTTCTGCCAAAAAATATATTTTAAAACTGAGTTTTCTTTGCTTTAGTCCTAGACTGATATAGCTGAGCTTCTGTGTGACAGTAGCCGGTATATTGTCTCTGTTATCACAGAATGTGACCAAACCTGTCATTCCATTTTGTGCCAACGACTTCGGACGGAGAAGTGCACATGGATTGAAACTAATCTTACCTATGCTAGGACAAGGAAATGCAGCCGGAAAACATTTATGGTAGGGCAGACTATACCAATGGCCTTGAATGGCAGTTGGTCTATGAGAGACCCTTGTATAGGCTGAAAGACAGAATATTGCTCTATTCTTCTTTGTCGTCTTCTTCTTCTTCGCGTTCACCGGTTGTAGACTCCTACGGAAAGTTCTGATTCTTCGACCACCTCAGGATTTCAGTCTCGTTCCAGAACCTGGGTGTTGTGTGTACATACGTTTTTCAGACCTGCTTGATCTAACAGCTCCTACCGTATGTTTTCTTCCAAATGTATTGTTGTCACTTTCCCTTTGAGTAAACAAGGCAAGCTGAACGAGGGATCATGCTGCATGGGCAACTCTTGGCCTTTACAATAATGCCGAGATTTTGTGCTCCGATGATGATAAATTTCAGTCTTGGCTTTAATTGGCTGTGATTTATTCATATGTCTTTCTATAACACAAAATGAAATGAAAAGCTGTAAAGGCCAATGAAAGTTTAAGACCCCAAATTTTTTTCCAGTTCTCTACTTTCTCCACAAACTTTTAAAGCGTTCAGGAGGCAGTTGCAGTGTTTTCTGTAGCAAAGTTTCAGAGGAGCATCGGTTCTGTATAGCTCTCGTTTAGGTAGACGGGTGGATACTTGTTAGTGACTATTTTTAGTCAGTTATGTGAATCACGAAAAGCCTTTGCTCTGTTACGATGCCCTGAGAGACTCTGTGTCTGTTTTATTGACTGAACAACAACTGAACAGTCAGTATAGCTGAAGATGCTATCTTTTTAAATTGTGTCAAATCGCTAGTGCTGAAAGTCTCTTATTCAAAAATACATGTCGTAAATAACTGCTGCCTGTAAAAGTTTCAATTCAAGCAATCTTTCAAGTTAGTATCGAAGTGTGGTAATAACATATACAACAGAACAAAGATCAACATACTTGATTGGGAAGGATAAATCTGACTGGCTATAACATACTGTCTTTATTTTGAAAATTAAGCAATCACTGTAATTTTAATCTGCTACACTGATTGAGAAAGGTATGACAATTACCTAAATTAGTCTCTTTCTCCTATATACACACACACACACACACACACACATATATATATATATATATATATATATATATATATATATATACATTCATACATACACACTTTCTCTCTCTCACACACACACTCTCTTTCTACTACTGTCGCGTTTTTCATTTAAAGCTTATAAGCTGCACCTGAGGCTCCTACCGCGCTCCTGGAGCACTATAGATATACCCCCCCCCCTTTTTTTGCACACCCCCCCCCACACACACAATTTGAATAAGGTGGCTACCACCCCTTAAACGTTGTCAGCACCCCCCCCCCCCCCCCCCCATTTCTGATTTATCTGAAAGTGTGTGTCTTTCGATAACCGTCTTTTAAATTTTTACGTGTTTCTTTCTTTTTGTGAGCGTTACGGACTGTGTTTCTTTCTCTCTGTAAGTGTTGCAACCGGTGTTTCTTTCTTTCTGTAAGTGCTGCAGCATGTGCACATATCATTCGTCGTCTTAGGTTCTCTTGACCAATTACGTATGTCTCTTAAACTCTGTGGAAGCTGCCGATTGGCTGTTTCAGGAAGGAAGAATGCCCAGATTCCCAGAACGAGACTACCACTGCCAAAAATTAGACCAGGCCCGTAAACAACCTTGCTCATCTGTGGGAGAGAAAGAAAAACAATATTGTTTAGGCATCGTACATTTACTCAAGGAAAAAAATACAATACAAAGTGTCAGAATGCTGTCTATGCAATTTTATAATCAGTAAAATTTATGTTAATACATGTATAATTATTTTTGCCTTACAGTAGACATGTAGAATGAGCCACTTGAAATGCGTGGTGATTTACACGCTACTTGGAATGATACGAACGTCTAGGGTTCATAACACCAACTCCACTCGGCTTCTTTGTACCTACCATCAGTTTATTCAGTTACATTTAATCGACATGTTTCCACAATTATTCAGACTTCTATCGCTCGCGACATATTCAAATACTTATTATACGCACGACATAGGGACTATAGCTTCTACTAATACAACTGTCTTCTACGACTACTGATGATCAACTGACCACGAGGCTAGCTCGGGCTTCCCCTCGTGTACTCGACCAGCCACAAGTATCTCGTGCCGTAACTTATAGCACGGATTTTCCGCTTTGCTCTCTGGGTGCGTGGCGACCATGCAAAGCACCTCATCACATCCTCTTTCCTTCTTAACAAAATGATACTTTATGGAACATCAAGTATCGTTTTCCATTCAATTGCCAAATGAATCAATGGCACTTAAATCTAACTGCACTATTTGGGATTACCGTTCCTAATTACCCTCAATTACTGTCCTTGGTTTTAACTTTTTACTGTATGCTTTTTCTAGTACTGAACTGGTGAAGGGTATCTCATCTTTGTACCTATTGCATCTGTAGTATAGCTTCGTCACTATATCTATTCTATCGGGTTCAAGTGAAATGATATTGTGATGATGGTGATGATAATGGTCAGCTTTGAGATATTTACTACATAGAAAATTGAATATTTCTATATCACCTTTTACAGGGTATTTAACCCCAAGGACTCTCAGCCGCAATGATAGTGGTGATTATGATAGTCAGCTTTGAGATATTTACTACATAGAAAATTTGATTAAACCAATATTTCTACATCACCTTTTGCAGGGTATTCAACCCCAAGGACTCATCTGATATGATAGTGGTAAAATATATTTATCATAGTGCTTCAGGTCTCCCACAAGCCCCTATAGCACCCTTTACAGGGTAATTACCCAACCCCAAGGAATCTACCACAGAAAAAAAAAATGCATGTTGGGATATTTTTTTTCCATAGACATAGTCTACTCCATGCTCCGAGAGTAAAATGGCTTCCAGGAAAAGTCAAAATAACAAAGGCCAGTGTGATCTTTACAACATCGCCCACTGAGTCACAGTTAATCATTAAATGTATGTCATGCATGTAAGACTTTTCTTAACTCGGGCAGGTCTTGCTAGTCCTACTCGCCATCGCCACGCGTTGTGAGTCGTACACCTCCTCATAACACAATATAACACTATCTTCTGGAAAGACGAAAAGGTGCCAGTGAATGAATGATATGTCAGTCAGCATATTCTAAGTGCCCCAATATTGTGAGAAAGAATTTTTAATTTCCTAAATATTTGTGTCACATGTTTACAGGGAATAAATTATCAGCATAACTTCTCCAGACCTTATTCATTCTGGCATAATGCTGACCACATTACCAGTAATCTGGTAATCTGGTAATCCTAGTTTCAGCTTCATAGCAAACGGGTCACCCCACATATGCTCCGCTCCTGTGCCAACGAAAAACAAACGCAGCTCACAGTGTCACGCCATGCACTCAACTCAGAAGCTGGGCGACGAAACTACATCCTTCCAGTCTACAAATGGAGCAAAAATGCAACGGCCACCGTCTGGAAAAAAAAAATATTTGCCACGGCTTTAAAAAAAAAGGGTGGCCGCACCTAGCGTCCATTTTGACCGGAAGAATTATATGAGGGTTAATAAACGGTCACCCCAGCAGTACCCTCATTATTAGCTGGGGAAGGGACTTAGGACATTACATCCACCAGCAGGCGTCGCCCCTACAACGACCTGCCTGCCATCGTTAACGACTGTTCACCCAACAGCCATGCAGTTCTTTGGCACGAAGGAGACACCTTGAACTTGGGTTTCGTACTGCCGACTCCCTACTAAGTTGTTATTTTATGTTCTGTCACAATTAATGTCACTGCACATTGGGCATACCCATGCGTGCTCAGTTCTCCGAAGCAGCAGCCACTCTAAAGTACTTCTACTAATTGTCCCCATGAGAAGCTGGTTATATTGTCTCCTTTCTCGGCCTCGAAGACGGCAAAGACGTGCATCACCATGCTTAACTCCCATGTCACGCAATCGTGTTAGTGTCAGGGATTCCTCATTCTCCACTAGCCCAGTTCGTACAGCGTTGACTATGTCTGCTCTGTCCATACTTTTTCCCGCAATCATTAGTGCAGTGCTTGCCAGTTGATCTGCTCGCTCATTTCCCTTCACTCCCGCATAACCCGGTGAGTAGATCCAGGTTACGGAGGTTAAGTGCGATTTCCTGATGCTTTCTATCCATTCAGAGCGCATACTGCCTGTTGCTATCTTCTGAAGCATATTCATTGAGTCTGAGACAATTACTACCTGTGTGGCGGTTTGCTCGGATACCCATGCTAAAGCTCTAGAAGCAGTGGCTATTTCCATTGTCATGCTTGACGTGGTTGTCTGGTAAGCGCCACTGTCCTCATGTATTGTTTTCCCCTTTCTTTGCGCTGTGTATGCCCATGCTGACCTTGATCCGCGCTTCACGGATCCATCTGTGTAAATGATGGTATCTTCTGGGTCTGAATGCTGATCTATCAGTTCCCTTACTTCTGTGTCTACCGAGGCAGGAATTTGATCCCTGCAGTACCTTCCGAGTGTGATGACAACCTTAGAGATGCCATGCATGTCTACTGGTGTATTCGTCC